CTCACAGGGCAACCGCCTCCCTCGACCTCACCGTCCTGCCTGGTCTCCAAGGAAGCCCACGCAGCACCTCCAGGACGTGGGCCTAGGACCGTGGGTAGGGAGGCACGGGGTGAGGGGCAAGAGCCTGGCCTTGCCTTGCCTTGCCTTGCCCGCGTCTGCCCCTAGGATGAACGGAGGAAGCTGGCTCCTGCAGCCGGGCCCGGCGCCCCACCAGAAGAAACGCGGCGCTGGTGAGCGTCCCGCCGCGCTGCCCAGCAGGCACACGTGTGAGGAAAGAAGGGCACGCGGCAGAGGAGCTGCTTTGTTTGCAGGTTGCTTTTATTTACAAATATACTGAAGTGTTATCTCTCTCTCTCTCTTTGCTTTTTCTTGTGGGAAAGGAGCACAATGCATGGGAATCTCACGTACCTCAGCTGCCAGGTGACAGTGGCAGGGAAGATGCAGTGGAATGAAATTTTAAAACACTAATAAATAATTTAACAATGACAAGTAATTAAATAAAAAATCCAACCTACACACATTATGGTGTCTCGTTACCAACAGAGAAGGGGAAGGCAGGGAACTACTGTGACAGGCAGATGGTTAAGTATGAGAGAGCATTTTCATATTTTTTACAAGTTAAACAAATTGTAACAGACAGCTACAAAATACTACATTTTGGTAACATAAATACAGAATATATAAATATACAATTAATACAGCCATACACAGCTAAAAAAGGGTGTTCACTTAAAAACAGAGATCCCCATGTAAAATATCTGGAAGTCCCTTCACAGTCACTGCTAAACAAAATAATATTGTGCACGACCAAGAGGAGTCACGCTGTGCCCTCGGGAAGGCATAAGCTCATTACCACATCGCTCAGGAAGACCCCAGTCAAGCAAGACTGATCCCACCCGAGTCTGCAAAGCACTTGCACCGTGCCGATGGGATTTGAGTACGTGCTCCGTGTGAAGCCCGTGCAGAGGCACCTTGCTGAACGGAGACCCTGACAAGCTGTAGCTCAGGTGGCGGTGATGTGCTGCTCACACAGGTGAGGCTAGGCGGGAAGGCTGAAGGAACCGGGGCTTCCACACGCAGTGGCTGCCAGCTCAGCCGTGCTGGGCTCCAGGGATATGGCGTCCTGCATCTAAACACTGGAGAGCTTTGTGGCTCCAAATCCTGCAGCTTTGATGCTGGCTCTAGTATCCCCGCTCCCCTGTTGCGGCTGGGAATCGGGCCTCGTGTTTGGACCTTTCTCCCTGGACTCTCGTGGGGTTATGAGACGGCATCGCGAAGCGGATGGCGGTCTAACAAACTGCACGGGCCCCATCCCTCGCCCTGCTATAGCAGAGAGAAAATGCTGCCTTGAGGGCAGTCAGGGATGGGGCCTGACCCTAGGGAAAGCGGGGAAGGAATCCAGCCCAAGCAAGGCAGAGGCAAGCAACACCACCTCTGGAAGTCACGGCCTGCAAAAGGGTGCCTACCGCTGCAGACACCAGGGCGGGGGGTGCCAGAGAGGCATGATGCAGTGCTACACGCGGAGCTCCCTGAAACTGAAACCCAGCCAGCAGCCGCTTGAAGAGTGACACGGGTCACACCTTGTGCTGTCCACGTGCCTGGCGTGGCTAGCAGCACCTGGGCCCAAGCACATGGGCCTCTTCGGTGATGGCGCTTTAGGAAGGAAACATCCACGAGGCTCCTAGGTTGCGTTTCAGTTCAGAGTTGGCAAACAGCGTATTTTCTCATAGCAAGAGTCATCTTTTACTTAGCAGCTGTGAAACTCATTTAATGCTGTACCTCTAATAGCCTGGACTGTGGGTTTCTCTCTCTGCCTACTGACCTACCGAGCCGTGTGGGATCAGCACATGGTGGGGAGTACTTCCATCAGTACTGAAAGTATGAAATGGAAACCTGCTGGTCACTAGCTTAAAGCACGCACCTGTCACCGAGCACAGGGAATAGATTCAGACCGTGCCAGGCAGGGAACTCGGTGCTAGCATCGCTTTGAATCATCTGCATGATAAGGACCTTGGAGGAAGTGGTTATTGAGCTTATTCGTTTTGATATTAGATCATCTTTTGCTGAATGTTACTGAGCGAGCACTGAAACCTTATCCATCATCTTGTACTTAATTGCATCTCGGCGTTGTTTAGTGTGACACGTATGCCGTCCTTAGCCAAGACAGCATGATTGAAATGCCATGAAGAGCTCATGTGATGCATTTATACCGGAGAGGGGTTAATTTCCTAGCAAGAGTGATCACTGTACGGTACATGTAATAAACTGCTGTCATGACCTCTCGCCTTCCAACTCCCACATGTGCAATCACTATTTGTGGTTTCCGTGGAAGTGCCAGATGCTAAGAGTTTTTGGCAGGAGTTTATCAGTTTGACTTGCTGTAAGATATTACTGTGATGTGGCCCATGATACATTTTACCTTTGCCTGATCAGTGACATTTCCCTTGACAATACAAGAGTAAACCAGAAATCAAAAAGGTCAGAGGTTGCTTTATAATCTTTTACTGCAGGTCCCAGGTTAAAACCACAATGATCGCGCTCCTGCGGGATAATTCATACTACAAATAATAGTGACATTTATTTTGCTTTAATGAACTTTGGCCTTTGAGAGCTATCTTGGGCGTGCTGGAAGTGGCTGGTCCTGCTTTCAGATGTGCATTCCTACCCTTTGCTGTCTCAAATTCACACTGGCACTAGGTGTATAGTTAGCCTTGGCAGCGGCATGTGGTGCCAGAGCAGGACATGGGGGAGCCAGTCAGTAGAGCACTGCCATGCAGCACCCAAGGGGTCAGGAGCGATGATGCTTACCCTGGATGGGCAGGGTGTGCGCAGCAGCAGCTGTGCACTGAAGGAGCGTTGCCTATTCCTGCCCGGACGTGAACTTCCCCCTGCAACAGCTGGCTAAGAGCCAAGAAAGGGTGGCAAAGGAGCAAGGAGTCCACAACAGGCATCCCGATGCAATAAGGCATCCTTTTGCTTCTGCCACGGCGTAGAGTCCATTGGCGTGGCACGTCTTCTGTGACACGAAAGGCAGCGCTGGGCTGATTGCTGGGAGGGGGGTCTGGGCAACCCTGGTATTTACAAGTGTGTCACGTGAAAATGTGCCAACATTGCCAACTTCTGTGACCTCGCAGCGCGAGCGTACAGCAAGCCTGCGTTCTGTACCGATACCAGCCGGTGCGAGGTGGGAAGGGGGGCGGGGGAGAGGTCTTTTTTTTTTGGGTACAATAAAAGGGAAAGTGTTGGCAGTGGCTGGATAAGAAAAAACCCAGCAAAGCGTCTCCCCCTCAGGTGGCAGGAGGGAGCCGGTGGGCTCCCATGCACTGCCTGCTTCAGGTGGAAAAAGCCCCTCCCAAGGTGACGAGGAAAGCGCTGTGTGCACAGCATGCACGCACCCGAGCTGCAGCTGGTCACAGCAGCGTGCGGTTTGGGCTCTGTCTCCTTGGTGGACAAGGGCTCTGCTTTTTGCTTGTGTGAGAGGGAGAGTGCGAGATGGTGCCCATCTGTCTGCGAGCAGCTGAGCTGTGGGGCGATCTCCAGGTATTGCTAGGAGGTCTGTGCCAATGTCTTCTGCTTGCTAGCAGTGCTGCCCTCTCCGCTCCCCAGGGATCCTTTCCTCACGCCCTGAAGGTGCAAAGTCAAGCTTTTCTCTTGCAGACAGAGTCCATTGCACACCTCTTTCTGGTTTGCCTGGCCGCGCTTGGCGCTCACAAACCTGTCTGTTCGGGCGCGGGCCCTCGATTGGCGGGGCCTGCCTGCTGGGTGTCGGGGGAGGCGGTGATGGTTAATGACCACCACCTGTCGCGGCAGGCGCGGTCTCGGTTTCTTGCCTGGGCCCCAGATGTGTGAGCTCATTTTCCATACAGGAGAGGAGCACGGCTCTCGCTTAGCTGCTCTGGCTCTGTCGTGCTCTGCTTGCTGCCCACCCCGCAGGGTGCAGTGCAGAAAGTGGCTCTTGGTGTTGGACTGTTCCTGGGCACCTGAGTCCAGCGACAGCCCGGCCTTTTCCTGAGCATGTGGCGCTCCTAGCTAAACGGAGCGGGCTGACCCTGTCGCACACTTAGCCGGGTGCTGGGTTTGCCTGTAGACGGGCACGGTGGCAGGCACGGCTGGCGCCATGGCCCCATGCCATACGGCTGAGTGCTTAAGCACTTTCTTCATCATTTGCTGAGTCTCATGTGAGAATTTGCAGCCCCGAGTCTGCGCCAGCTGTCACACTCGAGGAGTTCAGTTAACTGGCGCACTGAGCTGGTTTTTGGCTGGCATGGTCAGTGTTTGCTAAACATTTATCTGACGGGCCTGTCTACTGATCTTTCCCTGCGCTCTCACTTTTAAACACCCCGTGTCATTACGGATGTTGTCTTGGCAAATTTTTCCCCATGAAGCGCTCTCCACTCTGAGCCCTGACTATACCTGCCTGTCGCTCCACGTTATAATCATCACCGTGTGATTTTTAGAACTACATTATCATCGTTACTTCTATTAGTATTTAAGAGAGTTTCTGCCCTGTAAAAATGGCCTCTGGTGGCAACTCAAACTTCAGCACAGGCTGGCGCCGTTCCCCAGCAGCCCTGCACGCGGCAGTCTCGTGTCCTCTCACCCGCGTACGCACAGACCGCTGAGGGCGATGGCTTTTGTTGGGCTACAACTTCACTCCTACGCTGCCGCAAGCACGGGGCTGGCTGGCGTAACCGGGAAGGCCTACGGGGTTACGCCAGCGTGGACCGTGGGGACGTGAGGGCAGCACCAGGCTCCCGCCCTGGTGCACCTGCAGTCTGTCGCCTGCTCGCGGGCGCGGGCTCGGGCTCGGGCTAGGACTGCAGGACGCGGCTTGTCTTGGCAAATCGGAACAGACCAGGACCTGAAGGAGAGCGAAACTGTTCCAGATGGACAGTGGAGCGTAGCACATTTACGTCTTGTGCAAAACACAACCAGACAGACCAAAATGAACAACACGTGTGTTGCCAATCACAGTCTAGGCTTGAAATTTGGCACTGAATTACAAATAAAAGTAAATGTTTTATTCTCACACTTAAAAAATTAAATATAGCTCTGTGTCTTGTAAGCACCTTTTGTTTTAATTAATTAAGATCAATACTAGTCTAAATGACCTGTCCCTAACATGCAGCTTCTCTCTGGGGTCAAAGACCTTTTTTATTATGAAATCACTGGCTTTCTCCACAAGTCTCATTGTTAACCAGTTTTTCTACGTATCATACAGTATAAGGGCTATAAACTAATGAGCAGACCTAGGGTTATGTAGAAAAAGTGTAGAAAGGAAACAAATGCTGAACGTCACATTTACATTAACTTCTCACAGTTCAAATGGCAATTTGTCCACAACATGTATGAGTCATGCAGTACGAAAAGGGAGGACTCTCCAGGTTCCTTGATTTATTTGTCATATGGTTGACTGATGTTGGTTTCAGCGGCTTCCGAAAAAATGCTTAAACATCCAAAAGAAAAGAAGAAAGAACGGAGGGAAAAGGTCTGGCTTTGGGCAAAATCCATTTCCTTTCAAACGACGAGCTCCAAGCCAACCAAACCGGAGGCGGCTGGAGAGCTGGGCCTCGGCCTTTCCACACTTCCCTCCTGGCCTGGCGCGCGCTGGGCGAGGGAGGGCGAGGGGCGGTGGTGGCGGAACGCTTTTTTGTTTAACACAAGGCTTCCTAGAAAGGCTGTTGGCAGTCCAGAGGCAGCGGAGTCACTGTGAAGGAAGAGCTGGACGACATATGGCTGTAGAGTCTGCACTGGAAAAAGTCACTGGCTAAAGATATGCCGGCTCTTGTTTTCCTTTTATTTTCATGAGGCGAAATACGAGCTCTGCATAGAGTACAGCCTGTCAATGGGATTTCCTACTCTAGCCTGCATGGAGTTAACTTCTGAGGAGGCAAGAAAACAGTCGCTCAAACTAGTTAAAGAGGTATCGCTGTCAATATCATGAAAAATGGAGTCGTTCCCTGCAAACGAAACGCACACGTTAAGCTTGGTCCTGCGCAGAGAGAAGTACCGAGCCAGGGTCTCAGGTCCTACACAGTCTGCTAGGGGCAACTACCTGATCTCCACGCGCTGGGGTAAAACACCTTCGCGGCGAGGGCCTGCTCTTTAAGCACAGGCTGGCACTCAGATGCCAGGAGTTCAAAGGGTAGCAACCTGGCAGAGAAGGTGGAGCGCGGCCACGTGGCGTGGACAGTCTGCCGTGTGCCGTGGACACTGCAGTCTTCAGCATGTAAGACACCCTTTCCTAATGGACACGGGAAAGGGGCCACTCACTCTTCACACCGCGACCCTGGAGCCTTGGCCAGCCAAGGAGCGCAGGCGCGGGCCTTCCGCCCTGGCACAGGGTTACTGCGCGACCCAGTGCAGGAGAGGACGTATCTGCACGGGAAGGGAACCCACTTAAAGGCATAACCTTCCTGGACACGGATGGATCCCTTGGCCATGCTACACCTTTGCACGTGCCTACATTTCACAAGCTCCCGTGTCTTCTGGCTTGGTTTGGAATAAAGGAAGGACGGCCGTCTCTTCCCTTCACTGGCCGCAATCTCAACTGACTTCACCGGTGAGGGCACCAGACGGTGCTCCGGGTCACACATCCTGGTTCTTTTCCTAGGCACTCTGTTAAAGTGGCTTCATGTGCGCTTGGTTGGATGCACAGAACCGAGGGCTTCCTTTACAGGGCTGGGCAAAGCGTTTGCAACAAAAATGAACCCACCTGGAGCTCACCCGAGCTGCAGGTTTCTTCCTAAACTACACTGAAACTTAGCTCTTTTCTCTTTTCTTTACCGCTCTCCAGTACTCACGCTACCACCAGCTCTTCTCTGCAACCAAAACACCAGTGTGGGTGGAGTTCAACTTTCTTCCCACTGCCTGCACTTTGTTCCCATTAGAGCTAGCAAGAGATGTAGGTATGTGTCTCTACGCTTGAGTGCCCCTACGCCATAGACAAAACAGAGCCGTTGCGGGATACCAGGTGGACAACTACAGTCACGTTTAAATACCAGGCTGTAACTGTCCTGAATGAGCCACTAGCCTTCTACTTTTGCAACGCACTTGCAGTAACGTGTAAGAGTTGGCTTGGGTTACACCTGTCTGCATGAAAAGCTGCAACTGGGAACTGGCAGAAGCAGGTAATCACCTTAGGTCAGTGACTGTTAAGCCAGGAGGATGTTTTCTGTACTGACACATCTAGCAGCAGTACGAGAGCTCTTTAACAGATCTGGAGCCTATGCCTGGTGGGATCTTCTGAGGATGCTTGCCTCTGCATTTTGAGACCAATGCATTTAATCCCTCGCACTACAGCGTCTACGGCAAAGCCTTCTCTTCCCTTCCTCCTGAGCTTTGGGGGTGGTTTATGTGCTGTTTGTTCTCTGCTGGCTGCCTCGGGGTGGTAAAGTCGCTGGCTCTGTACTCTGAATTAGCTGCTATGGTTGCTTAGTGCCTGGGACAAGGCTTCCACTGCCCATCTGCGTGCGTATCAATACGTAAAGACAAAAAGTACGGGTCCAGTGTATCTTCTAGTGCAAACCCCAGGAAAATGATGGCCAAAACAAACTGCTAGACTGCCCGCGTGCTGTCTGCACAGACGTTCCCAGCCCAGCGGTGTGCCGAGAGCCTTACCATAAGGGTTCATGTGGTCTCCCGGCATCTGTGGAGGGGTGAGACCTTGCTGGAAGGGGTCCGTGCCATAACTGCTTTGATCCATCGCTACAATCTGCTGCTGCGGCGGTGCCAGCGGCGTGTATGATGTCATCATCCCTTCCATCCGGTTGGACATCACTTCTGCAAAACAGACAGCGGAGTCCAGGGCTGTTCAGCAAGGGGGAGGTTGCAGGGGCAGTACGACTGGGAGTGCTGCCCTCCCCATCGCCCACACCGCGCTGCGCAGGAGGAGATGAGCCGTGAGGTGCAGTTGCTAGAAATACCCTAAGGGATCCCTCCTCACCCTGCAATGCCCCGGATAACCCCAGCCACCAGTGCCCAGCGGTGTCGGTGCCAACGCCAGGAGGATCCCATCCAGGTCCCGAGAGAGAACCATCAATTAAGGATGAGGCATCCGGCTGGTACTCTGATGCCATCAGCCTCCACGGTCCCTTCACCTGCTCACCCTCGTTTCCTCCTAGCGGCAGTCAGCCTCGGCCGGGGCCACAAACAGCGCTGACCCGTGTCTCGTGAACTGTGAGGGCCCGGGGCAGAGCCCACCCCCAGAGCTCAGACGCCAGCTCTGCCTGGACACCCTGCCAGCTGGAGGCTCGCGTTGGGAGCCAGGCTGTGCTAGGATGTCGGCTCCCCAACTCCTGCGTGCCGCCCTGGACGTCCACTCCTCTCGCTGCCAGGACCCCGCCACCTCGTGTCTGCAGGGCACTTGGCCACTTCACCTTCTCACCGAGGCACCGCACCATGTTTTGTTTTCCCAGGGTAGCTCCCAGTCCTGGTTGCGGCTCCTGAAAACCAGCCTCGAATGCCTGGGCCACAGGAAACGAGGGGCCAGGCGCAAGCAGGAGCTCGTCTGTTTTCTCCCTTCTGCTGCCTAGGTGCTACCACAGGACCCCTCAGTCCCCAGCAAGAGGCATGAAGGAGCACTGACCCCATCTCCTTTGGCCAGGGTTGCTTCCCGAACCCAGGCCCAGAGCCTGGCACCGGCCGTGTCAGCCTCCAGCACTGGCCGCGTCATCCTCTCAGACAGACTGAGCTCCTGGGGCAGGGACTGCATCTTTCTAAATGCCTGTCCATGTCCAGCACCTAGCACACGGGCTCTGGGTGCTGCCTGGAGCCACCATGGCAAGGCAGTACCAGTACGGAGAACACCCTCGACAGCCATGGGAATAGCCCAGGGTCTCTGCTGCTGTGCCCCGTGGGCGGTTCATTCATTTGGGAGATGTGCGCGCAGGGAAACTGCTGCCGCTGCCTACAGCCACTGGTGCTACACAGCGGCAGCACCGAGCCCCGCTCAGATCCAGGCCAGGCCCACGGTCCTTGGCCAGCTTCTCTTCCGTCTGAGGGAGGGAATGAAGCTGGGACTGGCTCGGCGGTAACGCGGGGGGGACCCAGCTGCATCCCTTCTCCAGCCCCACAAAGCATCCCCAGGGCAGTTGGCTAGTCCTAGGCTGTGTCTGCATCGCTGCATGGTCCTGGGAGCCCATAGCGTGACCTGGCTGGTGCAGAAGTGCAGGCCGCCCTATCCCTGTCTGAGTGCAGAGAAGCAAGCCTGGAGGAGGAGATTGCTGCTGCCTGTCTTGATGGCGGGTACCTGTAGGTCTGGCCTCGGGACCTGGCCCAGTGGCAGAACACGAACATGGCCCCAGAGCTGCGTAAACACAGAGCTCTGCGCGTGCTGTGCTCTGTACATACACATATAAAGGCGCAGGTGGGCACAGGGAGAGTGCACCCGCGTGGGTGCGCTCCCATCCATTGCAGAGAGACCCTGGAAACTACCCCGCTGCCCTGTGCCCCTCTCCTCGCGTCCATCACAACCGTGGCTTTACCTTGGCCGAGGCGCTGAGAGTTCTGCTGCTCCTGCTGCTGCTGATGCCTTCGCGCTAGCTTCTTCATCTGAATAAAATGGGAAACAGAATAACCTTGCGGGTCCGAAGGGAAGGATCCGGTTCCATTACAAACCTATATAGTCTGCGTGTTGTGCAAACACTCCTGGGGCCTCTGTGTTCATTCTTGGACACACATATTTGGTTTTCCTGGTCGTATTTATGTGCACACCCTAGTCCTAACCTGGGCCTGTGCATGGCTGTGGGTCTTCCCACGCACGTGTGACCTGTGCAGCACGTGCAGGGTGCACGGCACAAACCTCGTGTAAAGCCTCATCCCTGCCTGGTGACCTTAGTGACATGGCCCTGCTGTGAGAGGAGAAGTCCGTGCGGAGGTTAACTGGTAGCTTACCTTTGCTCTTTGGTTCTGAAACCAGACCTGGACAACTCGCACGCTAAGTCCTGTTTCAGCTGCTAGTGTTTCTCTGACCTGCAAGAGGAAACGTTTAAAGATTAGCTTCCGTGCACCTAGCAGGTAGGTCATGTGGCAGCTTCTCTTCCTCTTGGGCGCGCTACGTGCTGCCCAGAGCCCCGGCTGTAAGCGGTCAGTTCATTTTTGACCACATGGACATTTGCTTCCTTCAAGACTCTGCCTTGGACTTCAGTGGGCTTTCAGCCTGTGGGTAGGGTGGCCATCATAGAGGACATGCTGGTTTTCTGTCCTCTGTCCTCTAGTGATACGAAACCCAATGCCTTTATGTCCTCTAATTTTCCCTTCGAGAGGAAAATAGAGGACATAAAGCCGTCGGGTTTCGTATCACTAGAGGAGAGAGGACAACCGGATTGTCCTCTATGGTGGCCACCCTACGCGTGGGTCTCTGCGGAGCAGCCTACCTTCCTACAGGGCTTGGAAGACACTTCAAAGGATGCTTTGAATGCTCTTCTCTGCTGTGTTGTAAGGATAGTCCTTGGTCGTTTGGGCCTCCTCGGGTCTTTCCCATCATCGCTCCCTTTCCCTTGGCTCACTTGTCCTTTGGTTGGCTTGACATCTCCATCCTCATCATCGCTTTTCACTGTGGAAAAATCAAAAGGAAGTGAAAGTCCTGCTTGTTTCACTCAGGCAATGGGACTCTCAGAAGGTTAAACTAACACGTTACTAGGCCCCCTAAACAGCAAACTGAACACTGTTACCCTACATTGGTGTCAAATCCAGCACCCTCCTAGTTGGCTGATTATCAGGTTAAATGGCACCTGCGCAGTCTCTCTGCCACGGTCCAGGGAAGCACTTTGGCTTCTGTTCAGCCCTGAGGGCTAACTACTCTCATCAGCTTGATGTTCATCACATGCTTAAATGTTTTCAAGAGCAGGGCTTGCTGATTATTCTACAACATACATCACAACTTCTGAAACGGTGGTTGCACTAGTGCTGCAAAAGCAGGACATTTAAAATCCAGGTCTTTTGATTAGACATCCGTTGTTTTAAACTATTTTTTTAAACATTTCTGCAAGCCTGGTGGTACCTTCAAAGCATACTGCTTGTTTCTTCACTGCCGTGTATTATGGAAGACTACAGCAGTTTTTCTCACTGTACCGCAGACATGCATGAGTGCATGTGCACGTCTCTCCTGCTTATCCGAAGTGTGTCTGGCTGAAGTGTATACAGCCCCGGGTGTGTACACCTCTGTATGAAACTCTGTGGGAGCGTGCATATCTATCATGAATATATGATTTGTATTTTCTCTAGTTCGATGTGAATGATCGTGTGATCTGATAATGCAGTGTGCATTCGTGGTTAGCAGTGGGAAATCCTGACTCGCTTGCCAAAGGTTTATGAGTAAGCACATATTTTGTCCCGGTTGAAATAACTTCTGTGTCCACATCAACATCTGTGGCCAAACGCTATGATTCATAGCAGTCAAAGGGGTCTCTTACATGCATTTCACTAAACCTTTGCTTTTCATGCAGAAAACATTAGCATTCTGGGGGTCTTTAATGTTAAGAAACATACTGTACTTGTGATGTATCCAAAGATTACATTTAGGGAATTAACAGATTAGACTTCAAATTCATTTTAGATCTGATTATTTTGCACCTAGCAATCTAATTGCCTTTCAGTTCCATAAGCATCTTTTGCATAATGATTAAAGAGAAGTTCCATCGTTTTAATAACCTTGACATTATTAACTTTCCAGCCTGCCATTTCTACAGAAAGGTTTAGTGAAGGTTAATATTGCTCATTGGAGAGTTGCTTTTGTGGCCAGTGGATAAATATTTGATTGGAGAAGGACATGCTCTCAGCCTGAGCGGGGTGCAGTTGTTTGCACTCACGTAAGCAGCGGGGAGCTTCGGGCTTTTGCAGGATTAAACAGTGGAAGGAAAATGAGTCCTCTTTAATTTGGTTTCTTGTTCCACAGGTTTGGCCTTGGCTCGGGAAAGGGTTGTTTGTCCATAAAAAGAAGCACTTCTCACCTCTTGGATGCATGACTGTGTGTGTCCTGGGGTGGGGAGCCAAGAGCAAACGCAGCCGGCTGCCTCTGCAGCAGGCTGGGCCTGGCCCAGGCACTCGTGACACTCAAGGTGGCCCTGGCAGTGCACCCGTGTCCAAAAGAAGAACTGGACCCCAGCCAGCAACGACTGCCCGTGTACTGCTGTGACGTTAACAGTTAACAGAGGAGGGGAAGGCAGGACCTCGTCCTCCCTGCTACTACAGAGCCGCACACGGGGAGGACAGGAGCAGGCAGGAGTTTTCAAGGGCAGTTTGTCCAAATAAAGAGAAGGAGACGGGCCCAAGTTTTGGTAAAGAGAGAATAAGATGCTGAAAAGCCCGGGTTTGCTCGGGGCACGGAGCGTGCAAGCCCGGGCTTCTGGAGTCAGGGGCTTGTGGGCCTACAGATCTGGCCTGGCTGTGATGGGCACTGGCCCACGAGTGGCTCAAGACCCATGCATCCCGTGACACAGCAGCGACCGTCACCTCACCACAGTCCTGCTCTCAACGTGTCCTAGGAGCAGCAGGAGTGCCAGGCTTTCCAGGGACCCGAGGGAAATGCCCCGGCCACCTGTGCATTCGATGGACTGGTGATCGCTGTTGTTTCCCTGAGATGCACCCAGGGGTTGGACCTCATGCATTAGGCTCTAATTCAGTCAAAGCAGGACTGTCCGTGACAAACACACAGCCATTCCCTGGGCACGGGCAGCCACTTGTCACCCTTTAAAAATATTCTGTCCCTCACACCTCTGCACACATTTTTCTGCCGCTCTGGTTTGTCTGCTACTGCTCGCATCCAGACAGCAACCATCCTTTCTGGAAGTACGGACGTGGCGAGCGCTTTAGGGTGCAGGAAAAGACAACAGCCGAGTGGCATGTGGAGAGAGCCCTCCGCAGCAAAGTGGGGTTTTCCTTTTGTACCAGTCCCCATGCGGAGGCCTTGCCCGCCGGGACGGGCCAGGGCCGTCTGCGTGTCGGAGCGAGTGGTGAGGGCAGCGCTGCGGGGCACAGCCCCATCTGCTACGTGGCATACCGCGGCGCACTACAGGCGTTGTTCCTGCAACACCAGGCTCAGTGTTCAGGTCCTCCAGGTCCTGGACGTGTCTCCATTGGGTCTGTGACTTTTCTTAGCACAACAGCGTGTGATCGGCAGAGAGAAACTTATCCTGGAGAGCTCCAGGAATTGGGCCATGGCTGTTTGCCCATGGTCCAGGCCTGACTCGGTGTCAGTGTGTGCACGTGCAACCTGTGCTCCATCATCACGTAGGAGCCGTGGGCCCCGTGACAACTCCAATCTGTTACTGAAATGGATGGAAACAGCATGGATCAGGCCTCTGCCATTGAAACCAGACAGATCTACCCACCCTGCTTTTCTAGGACAGTACCACTTGTCTGAATCTTGGCAGCCTGTAAATTATTCCTGCCCTCTGCTAAGGGGTAGGACAGTGAGCAATGGCCTGAAATTAAAGGAGGGAAGATCCAGGTTAGATAGTTGGGAGTGGCGCTCACGCGGCAGTGCACCGATCCCCGTGAGTACAAGGATGGAGGCACCATCGCTACAAAGGCTGGCTGAGCAGCGAGCAGTTCTGCAGAATCGGATGAGGATGCTTGGCCCTGGTGGCCTTTCAAACTGGAAGAGGTGCAGGAAGAGCTCACCTGAGTCAGAGTCATCCGGGCTCACGGAGCTCAGCAGGTCTTTTTCTTTTTCATAGTCACTTTTGCAGAGCAATTGTCCTTCCTTCAGAACAAACTCGTCTCCTTTCCTCAGCTGCCGCTCGCACACGCAGCAGCAGAAGCAGCTTAAGTGGTAAACGCATTCCAGGGCCCTCATCACAAACTCCGTCGGGGCGATCTTCTCCATGCAGCCACTGCACTTAGCAGCAAACAGCCTGCGAGAATGAAAGGCAACGAGGGAAACGTCAGAACGTGCATCCCTGTACTGCAACGCTGGGAACGGGCAGTCTGACTTAGCCACAAATCAGTTTGCAAAGTGACTCAGCACGCTGGCAACTGCGTGTTCTGGACACCGCAATACCAGCGGCACCGCGTGGATTCTGCGCCCCTTTGGCTTAGAAAGTCCCTAAGATCTGGACCTCTCATAAGATTCCCACTACATGTTTCTTTAGTGAGGTTTTAGTGTGTGTGTTATTGCTTCTCTGTTGGGAGAGAGAATCAAAAAGGCTAGAGGCACAAGAAATAAAATGGAACAATGTTATCCACGCCCTGAAAGCTCAAGCCAGAGCCAGTTTGGTTCAGCTTCTGGATGAGTCAAGCCTTATTATGCTGCTGATGATTTGCGACTGAGAACCTGCTCTACATGGACCCTCTGAGAGCCCCTTGCTGGCGTGATGCTTTCTGTGGAGGGCAGTACTTGGGCGCTGACACCCGAGTGTCTGCTTGTGGGGGAAGAGAACTAGCTCAGAGACGGCCAGAGCAGCCAAGCCTTCCTTGGGACCGGAGCAGCCCGGCCGAGCAGGGGCTGTCCCTTTTGCAGGGATGTGAAACGGCGCAGTGTTTGGCTCGGTCCGCACCATCGCTGCTCCCGCGCGCCACGCCACTCCTGCTCAACCCTCCACGCTCCCCACCCTCCGACTTAGCTTCGCTTTCGTGATGACTGGGACGTTCCTGAAGTAGCTTGCAGGAAAGGCGCGATTCCCAGTCAGGTGAACGGCTGGTTCGTGTCCTGGGTCACGCGGCGCGCTCGGTGCTGCTACAGGTCAGCCTTGTTCTGCGGCAGTGCTCTGACGCGTAAGGCGAAGTCACAGGGCTTTCCCCCAAGGCAGCGAGCAGCATGTGCGTAACTGTATCGTGACAGCTCAGCCCTGTCGCTGTTCTCCTTTGCAAGCTCCCACCTCCCGGGGACAAGGCACAGGGGACCTGTTTCGGAGGGGTGGCCTAGGCTGGCTCCCGGGGCCGCCCTGAGGGGCTTCTATTTTGTTTCAGCTGAGAAAATACAGCAAAACGGCAGCCACTCGTTTTGGAGTGAAACGGCAGGTCTCACACGGGCGAGATGGGAAAGAGATGCCTGGGTTTGTACATGCCAACAAGCTCCTCTCGAGGGGTGCAAGGGGCCAAGGCGCCAGTGCACCGTGAGCCCCTCCAGCAAATGCCACCATTTCACGTCCCACCGTGCCAGGACTTCCCTGAAGCTGCTTTCGCTGCTAGGTGCAAACGGGGACAAAACCTGCCGCTGCGTTTGGTTGCTAAACTGGACTAAACTATAAAAAGGCTTTAGCCGGTAAATCCCTAAACAGCAAATAGCTGGCGCACATGCGTAATGAAGGAGCTAAAAGGATTAAACAACTTTAAAAAAAAAAACGGCAAACATTTCTAACTGCTTAAAAAAGTTGTTTCTATTTAACTGCTTAAACCTATTTGCCTCCGTTTAATTAAGCTTGCACCTTTTGTCTAAGGAGGGTGTTTTATGATGGAGCATGCTTGAAGAGTCGGCAGATTAGCAAATCTGGTGTGAAGGCCTCCGACTCCTCCGACTGGCATCAGTTCATTTATACTGTGGTGACAGTGAACCTGTGCACGCTTCAGTACAACTCAATGGGTGGCTACAAGGAGGGATGGGACAAACTCAACGTGGGGTAGCAGCTTCCGAGCGGGGCAAGGCTGCTGATGCCCTTTCAGCTGCTGCAGCTTCCAGGTTTCTTCCCTGGCTTTCTTTGCAGTTCAAATAAATGCTATTGTTTAGCGTGACCTTAGCGGCCATAATCCTAAAACCATGCGGGGTGGGGTCCTTTAGAAAGGCACCGTGAGAGCGTTGCAGTCATGATGATACAGAGCAAACCCAGCGTTATTGCCTCTACTGTTAACGAACTGAACGCTGAATACTGAAACTCTCCCGAGAAAGGGTTACGTAGCAGGGACACGTCCCGCAAGACCCCTGTGAGGGGGCCAGAGCCGCGCTGCCCAGATGCTCCTTGGGGATAGTGATGTTTTTCCCGGTCTGGCAGGCAAAGCTGACCCCAGGCCCCCCGGGCTACAGAGCCAGCGAGGCAGCCCCCGGCATGCGGGGCAAGTGAGAGCGCGCCTGGGCTCGGGGCACTCCCGTGTGCACGGCCTGTGCCGGGGGCGGGGGGACTGGGCTGGAGCCAGGGGCATGTGAGCTGGGCTCGGCAAAGGGGACAGTCTTTGGCCCTCTCTGTTCCAGGCAACCAAGATTGGCGCCTGGTGGGCAAACAACCAGATCACGTGAGATAATACCCCACATCAGCGTCCCTAATTTCTCTCCCAAAGAAAAGCTGACCCCCTAGAGAGCTGTGCCATCCGCTGTCACCCCGGGAGAGCGACAGCAATGTCGTGGGTTGATGGAGAGGCCGAGGCCTCTCTGCCTCGCAGCGCCCCTCCCGGCTGACCGCACCAGGAGTGCTGGAGACCACAGCAAATAAGCACACGTATAAAGTAGCCTGCCTCCTGTCTACGGACGCACAGGAAACCAGTCCAGCCCCCTCCCGCCTCTGCACCATGTCTCCGTGAAGTGTGGCTTTCCATTCAGGACGGAAGGTGCTTTATCATGTAACTTTAAAATATTATTTAGTGGTGGAGAGTACTTGCAGCACAGCATTATCATTCTCGTAGGTGGTCTCTGAGTTGTAACGAGTTACATCAATATAATACTAACTTGTGCAGTTTGCCAATTATGGCTAAAGATTTATATTTCTGCTTGACATTACTCTGTGAACTTCTTGCCTTCCTTTGGGTTTATCCTTAGGCAACATAGTAAAATGCCATAATCCACAGTCAGAAATTTGCAACATGTGATATGTATAGAGCAATACACACACACAATCCACAGTGAATTGGATTTAATTCTCGGATTATGAAAACTTCATTAAATCTATCTTATAGAGTGTTTATAGGTTTTTCAGCTCCCAGAAAGTAACCCAGGGTTATGTACTTTTTTGCACAAGGCAGTCTCACAACAGGAAACTAATCTTGACAAATGACCAGACTTTGATATCTGTGATCTAAAACACTGCTCATTAGACTGCTCATTTTATAAACAATGGTAATAAACCTGTTGAGAAGTCTGAGGATAGCAGAAATACTTTACAGGTCACCCCGACGGAGGTTTCAATCAAAGCAATAATTTAAGGGTAGACATGTGATGTTCTGAGCTAAGCTGCTCTAACCACATTTGGAGAAACGTTTCTTTTGCCTTCTATAAATTTCACAAATAATTTGCATAACTCTTGACTTTTTACCCCATCGCTGATTATCTCCAGCTCTCCCAAGTTAACGTCAAACCTCAAAATCCTTGGACTCGTTAAAGTATGCACAGTGGAAATCAAATGCCTTTATTAGAAGCCCCGGGAAATCTCTGACTCCTAAGCACAACGAAAACATTCCAAAGAAAATTGTTCAAAGAGGACAAAGGAGAAAAGCAGAACAAGAAAACCTTGTTTTGAATCAATGATTGCAAGAGTTTTATAAATAAATTCTGTTGCCTGGACAATTCTGAAAGACAACTCAATAGTTTTTTTTTTTAAGTGTGTTTGCATCTATGCCTGAAACACTTAGGGGATTTAGCTGAGCTAAAGCTTGGAACAATAGGCTGTTTTGTTCATTTGAGTATTTGTAATAATCACTGTGAAACAACTTTACAGTATTAGAAAGCAAAACACACACTGCATTTTAAAAATGGTCAAACTTACTAAATTAATTTTGCATACATTTTAGGGGCAACAAGATGCCTGAGACATGTGGCCCTGTCTTTAAACAGTAGATGAAAATGCTCACCAGCGGAAGTAGCCATAAAGCTTTTATTTGTTAGGATATTCCTGTGCAGTGAGGCTGATTCGGTAATCCTTACAAACACAGCCACAGTTATATGATCCATGCGCCTTCCTGCATAGGGCCGAACCATCTGGTGTTTAATATGTACAACTGATTTATTATCTCTAGCGGAGTTATCTTGCTTTAAATGTGACCCTGCTCTGCTCCTGAGAATCACTGTTCTGCTGTTTACTCCTATAATGTCCTAACAACCTGCCCTCTACCTTTCTGATGCTTCACCCTGGGCCCTTCATTTCCTCCTGTTTGTGGGTAAATAGATTTTAATTGTTTTATTATAACTAATTTATTATAAGCTGAGAGATCTCGATGTGCAGTGTAAAATTTGCTGTTCATATTAAGTGTGGTTCAAGAGGTTTGTTAAACAGGACAGCGTTATAAAAATAGCCTGGTTCAGTCTGTTTGCATATTTACTGGACCTTTGCAGTGAAGCAATAACTAGGCAGCTATTAAGCTATGTTTGATGTATGCTAAATGACAGATGCTGCTGTCTAACTATTGGAGACCTTAAATCATTTTTCTTTCTCTGTAATTCTGATGTGGCTTTTTGGAAAAAATCGTGGCAGACACCTAGTTTTGTTTAGGTCATAAATACAAAGCTGGTGATCGCTGGCTTTGGAAAATACTGTACGGTCTTTAACTCCCCCCGGATCATGGCTTTTATATGTCATCACCAGCATGGCTGTACCTCCACGTCAGCCAAGAACTCACTTGGTATTCATAACATTCAGTACAAAATGTGTCCAAACTGCAGGCAGATGTATTATGCTTTCTACACAACCGAATTTTAGTAAGAGAAAAATTAAATGACTAATGAATGCCATCTATTACCCTTCAGGAGATGTTTTAGATGGAACTGGTTTTTTTCCCCTATGACTTAGACTGGGGAAATGCCAGCTATATATAAAGCAAAGGAGTCTTGGATTTTTTTTGCGTCTTAGAGATTATGAATGCATATAAAAAAGGAAAGCATTGCTTAGTCATAATAAATCCTAAACATTTGAAACATCCCAGATGTGCAAAAGGAAGACTGAAACGCTTTGATTTATGAAAGAACACAATTATTTTTGAGAAATACCGGAACATTTAAAAACTACATTCAGAAAAAATAGTGAATGGCTTTATTAAAGGCAGTTTCATATCTGAAATTTCAGTGGAAGTAAACCATTTCACTTTCTCTAGGTACCAATAAAATCGGCATAAAGGATAAAAGGTTTATGAAGAAAATGTACCACTTCCCAAGGAAACGAACACAAACTCATCCTCTTATATACTAAAAG